TGCCAGATTTCACGTCCAACATTTTAAAGAGGAATACGGATTGTGGAAAATGGAATCCGCAAAGTGGGATGTGGAAAGTGGAATACGGAATGTGAAATATAGGATCCGGAATACAGAATTTAAAAAGTGGAATCCGGAATGTGGATTACAGAATGTAAAAAGTTGTATCCTGAATTTGGAATCTGGAATACGAAATGTGGGATCCGGAATGTGAAATATGGAATCCGGAATTTTAAAAGTGGAATCCAGAATGTGGAGTCTAAAATACGGAATTTTGAATGTGGGATCCGGAATGTGGAATTGGGAATGAGGAATTTGGAATCCGGAATGTGAAATGTGGGATCCGGAATGTGGAATCCGGAAAAAGTTACGTAATTGACCCCCCAGATCTTTCTTGGATCTCTACAAAAATTTAAATATTATTTATTAAGAAAATTAGCTAGGTTTCAAATTTTACATTCTTTTATTAAAATTTATAAAGCTAAACTTATCTTTACTTACATATACTTATAGTCTTTTTATAGGTAGAAAAATATTTTTTTTTTGTTCGCAGAAAAAAATTTAAGTTATTTAAGTAGGAAAAGGGAGGAAAAATTAAATTCTGATAAGAATCTTAAAAGAATCAAAGAAGAATATAATAACCTGATATTTGAAAAATGTACTAATTAATTTTCCAGAAAACTAGAAATTCCATAAGATGACGAACTCTCATTTTATTTAACAACGTTAAATACTATAATAAAGGCGATATAAAAATTTCCTTATTAAAAACTCATGAATATTTAAGTAGAATAATTCAATTTCTTTTTGTTTAAATTTTAAATTGCAAAAATTTGAAAAATTCTTTTTGCTCTATAACTAAAAGCAAGATCAATACTCTCAGATTGAGTGTGTCAAGTCAAGAGAGAAATAGGATAAAATAAAGAACTTGAAACGGAGAATGTGGTATTTGGGAATGAAGATTTATGGAATCAGAAGGAAAGAAAGAACTGAAAGAAAGTCTCTGAACAAGCTATATGGATACATAGACATTAAGATTTATGAAGTACACGATTTAACACCAAATTCATCCAACTTTAGACAATTGGAGCTCAGATATTGGGATATAAGAGTTTTACTTCAAATATGCATTTAAAAGTTTTGAACCATGTTTGTATATATATTGCTATTGTTTTTCACTGATGTCAACAACTGAATGTAAAAAAAAATAATGGGAAATTTTTTTAAATTCCTATATATACCATCGAACAAAAATAAATTCAATATCCCTAGAAGTGAAGGGCAATTTATAAGGAGAAAGTGTATCGATTTTATAAAAATCTTGATGATATTATTGGTATATTTAGTAAAGTTTGTAGATTGCTAGTATAGTCATGAGAAGTCTGAGAAAAGGTAAATTAAATTGTCGCGCGCAGAGAAACGAAGAAATCTATTCTAAACTCAATCAATTCAAATTAAGTTAACAGTATAAGAAGGCAGCCAGATAAGCAAAGAATATATACACTGGTATTGATCAATGTATACAGTGTAAAATACAAGAATTTACCAAAGAAATAAAAAAATGAATGATACCAAATAATTATTTGACACCAATAATAATTTGTCTGTATCTATTGAAAACCAGATTATTTTGATATCGTTCTGGTGGTTTTTATTATTATTTTTTGATATTAGCAAAAGGCAAAAAATCTCAACGATTGGAATCAGAGAGTGACGCCAATTCAGATGAGAATTGAAAAACGTGACATTCCAGTTAAGATTTGTAAAACATGCCATTTCAGATATCAAATATTTTTTGCTCATTTCGTTGGATTAGTGAGCAAAAAAAAAAACAGAACACTTTCGCCTTTGGGTTGAAGAATAAGACACCATGAAAATACTGTTTCACAATATAACGATAAAACTATTTCTAAATTGCTATTCATATCTATTATTTTCTATTTATTAATTTATTGAATTTTCAAACTTATTTTTAATTAATTACTTTAATTTCCAAATTTAATGCAAAAAAATAATTATTGACATTTATCAATTTTTTTTTTGTTAAATCAATCTAAAAATAGGAAAAATATTTTGATATCTGGAATATCATGTTTTTCAATTCTTTAATGGAATGACACATTTTTTTTTAAATCCCTATCAGAATTGGCGTCCTTCCATAAGAATCGGGAAAAATATATTTTAGTCAATATAAAGAGTTGTTGAAATTTTGTTTGCCTATGTTATATATTACATTTTGTAAATTGTGTTTTAATTTTTCAAAAGTATTGAAAACATTGCACAGATATGCCGTTTATCTTTAAAAAATTAATTTCTTAAATTAAAAAAAACAAACATAGTTCAAAATAAATAGAAAAAAAATTTCTCCTTCGTGAGTTAATATTTATTTCAAAAAAGAAATTATAAGACATTGAATTTGTAAAAAATTAACTTTATCAAATTTACTATATAAATTTTTTTTTTTCAATATTAATGAACATCATTTTTATTAATTTGTAAAATGACGCTAGAAGTGAAAATCAATTTCTGCAGTATTTACCTCTTTCAATTCTACATTATTTTACCATTTATGTGCACCGTCACATGATGCTTTAGATGAAATAAGCGTAATAGAATAATCAGTGTACTTTGTCGTGTGGAAATGCTGATTACAGAAGTTTAATTAATTACACGACTTATAGTGTGTATATGTACAAGCTCTCGCAAATGTTAAACAAAACTTTATTTACTTATATGATGTGCAACCTGTGTTACAAAACAGTGAATTCAGTTTTATATATTAAGATAAACATTTATGTATATAATATTCAATCTTCATAACATATAAGCGTTAATTCAAAATTTCGATGAGATGAATCTACCTAGATCAATTATATAAAAATGTAAATCTTTCCTTTTGAGCAATTTTTGATTAAAATAATATACAATTTCAATAGTCAATCTATAATTTGATAATAAATTAATTTACATATTTGTATTTTAGTTATAAATTTATATTTATACCAAATGCAAAAGTACACAAAAAAAAACTGAGTTCATTTTTGTTGCAGTTCATTCTGAATTCGGTATCATAATGAACAACAACTAACTTCAAGTTACTCAAAATGAACCGGACCCGGATCAAATGTCAGATTATGTTAGTTTCTGTTGAAATTCAAGAGTTTAAGATTATTATGTTGGCAACAACTTCAACTTATGTATGCAGCGCCACACTGGCGCAATATTCAAATTGAAATAGTAGAAATATTTTTTACTTTAATTTAACAATAAATTTGAATAATTATAGTTAATGTATAATATGTTTATATATAATATAAATATAATAATAGATAATATATAATAATTGTAAAATATACAAGAATTACAATTAAAAAAATGGTATGGGATAAATTTATTAAAATAAGTTTAAATAAAAATTAATATATATATATATATATATATATTACATTAATTATATTAATATTTATTTAATATTAATAATATTAAATAATATTAATACTTTTATATTATTTGATTAGAATTATTTATATATTTATATATTACAAAACTGGACTGTGGATGTAAAATAATTAAATTATACATAAAGTAGTAATTATAATCTGTTACATAATAATATTCTTAAATTAATTATTTGATTATTTTTAAAATTAAAAATATTATATAATTTAAAAATATTTAAACGTGCCAGAAAAAATTTAATTTAATTTAACAATCTAATGTGAAAAATATTATCTGAAAAGGAAAAAATTGTTTTTCTGAATAAGAGTTCAAGAAAATGAATAAATAAACTGTTTTCGAATTTTTCTCTTTATTAAAATATACTATTGCATTTCATGAAAATTTAAAAAAGACTTTCCTTAATATTTATTTTATAAAAAGGGATAGAAGAATAATTGAAACAGAAAAAAGCGTTTGACAATTTTACGTAAAATTGATATTTAGAATTTTATTTTCTATAAAATTCACAATAAAAAAATTATTAAATGCAAAGACAATTTAATTTCAAATGTATTTATAAATTTAAAAAATAACTCCAAATTAAAACCTAATAATTAATTTGTTTAAATTTAGAAAACTTAATTTAAAATAATTAAACTTTTTTATAAATCATAATAATTTGTTGATCATAAAAACTGACTGGTCAATGTTAAATTTGTAAGAAAGCCAAGAATTAAAAAAATGTTCAAAAAAAAAAAAAAAAAAAAAGATGTTCAATTAAAATATATGCTTATTTCATTATGATAATTTTTCTTATATGAGAGATAATAATATTTTACAATTATATAATTATAATATATTATATGTATTATAATACGTTATATAATTATAAATATATATTATTAATATATGTTATAACAATCATTACATTATTATAATGAATAACACTTTATTTTTGGTTATAGTTTCAAGTTTAAATTTGGCGCCATTATCTTTGGTTTTTAGACAGTGGTGCTGTTAAATTTCATGTTTCGTGTTGCATGGTTGGTATTTATTTCTGTTAATTCAGAAGTTTCTAACCTAAAAATAATTTATCTTGTTTTCTATAAATTCAATTAATCGGATTTAAGAAACAAAGTTTTTTCAAGTGTAATCTGTTTGTTCATTGAAAACAATGATTTTGATTAATGGTTTTATGATAAAGTGCTTCTTAATTGACTATAATTGTCATTTTAACTTGAACTTAAAATGAAACGGATCTAGCTCATTTTGATGCTTTTTGCCTGAAGTTCAAAATGAGTTTCTCGATGTTCATTTTTGTTGCAGTTCAAAATGAGTCGGTCCACCGACTCATTGCAATTAAATATTCCGAACATTTCAAATAAATCTTTTAGGAAATCTTTAGGAAAGTTTCGATGCTGTGGGGGTAACTTTCCCAGATGGGAATTATTATTATAAAAAGTGTCAAGATTAATCATTACAGTATGTTTATTCAAATATATTTATTTTTTTACAATTGAGTCGCCGGAAAGTAAAACCACACATAAAATTCTGACGGCCATGTTAATTCAATGGGAGTCATAATTTTATGTGTGGTTTTACTTTCCGGCAACTCAATTGTTTTACAGCTTAATGAACTTTACAAGTTATTCATAAAATCATGTTTAATATTGTGCTTACAGCGATCTTAAATTAATAAAGTGTACTCGCATTTACCTGGATTATCAATTTTGAATAATTCACAGAAGACAGGAAAACTGTAGAAAACCTTTCTTGAGTACAAATGTTAAAAATTGTACCTACATTTTACTTATAGTAATGTTGACTGATGGTGAACAGTTGAGAATATTGCAAGCATAAAGACGGGCTTCAAATTCATTAGGAAGTTGTGAAGCACTCATAGTGTATGTTGGATGTTCTGAAGAATTATAAATCGATCGATAAAATCCATATCCAACTTTTAATTTATAGTTTACAGTTGTGGGACTATTAACAGGTTTATTCCATTTGAACATGATTGTTTCAGTAGTATTGTTATATGAATAATCAAGTGATCCTGGGATTTTATTAGGCTTAACTGCAAAAATATTTCATTAGAAAATAAAAAATTATATAAATAATTTATCATCTTCAATTCTGTATATTTTTTTTTTTTTACTAAAGATTCGTACCTGATGGATTGTCAGTAATGATTTCTTTGCTTATGAGAAAATAAACATCCTCGCCATCTGTATACGCAACTAGAAATTTATAATTTCTCCCGGGTTTTAAATATTTAATTCGATACACATAATTTTCTAATCCATAAGAATATACATCGTCAACCAACTCAAGTTCCTTAGTTTGACTTGATTCAATAATAAAAACGTCCATTTTTGCAGCGGTGGAAATTTTCTCAGGTTTGCTCCACTGAATATTGACTGTTGTATCAGTGAAATCAAGAACTTTGATGAGTTCATCATGGTCAATTGAATTGGATCTTTTGCTGAGATAAGAATCAATTTTTGAATCTGTAATAGAATAATAGTAAAATATCAATATTGTTTAAATGCATGTTAATTGATAAACCTTAAAAAAGAAACATGTGAATTTTAATTGATCGTACCTAAAGGATGTTTAATTCTTATATATGGGCTAGAGATTCTTTGTATTCTATTTGATTGAAATGAAACATCTAATCTAAATTCATATTTGCTTCCTGGTATAAGATTGTTTTCCGTTACAGTGGTAATATTGAAAAAATTTGATAGTTCATAACCTCCCTCAGGTACATACCATCCAGTTCGAAGCTGACGATTTTTATTCACTGTATATAGCATATACATGTAATTACAATTTTTAGGCTTTTCCCATTGCACAATAGCAGATGTTTCAGTGATATTAAATACATTGACATCTCCCCTAACTTTACAACCATCTGTAAATTAAAATATAAACATAGAATAAAATTCAAATTTAAAAATTATCCCTAACAGGTTGTTAATGTGTTTTGCAATTTTTTTGAGAATTATTTCATGGAACATTAAAATGCTAAAGAAGAATTAGCATTGTAAATTGATTTTTTTCTAAGAGTAATAAAAGCGTTAATATTATAACTGATTACTGAATATGTTGAGATCCATACCAATTATTTCTGTCCTGTTAAATTGAGAGCTCCTCAACCAATAACCATATTTATATGGTTCAGGAACATAAACAAAAAATTGAAATAAGTCACCAATCATATATGTATTCATTGTAAAAGATGGACAATCAGCACTACTGGTATAAAATTCACATTTTTCATCCACTACAAGAAAAACACATGTATGTGCATTATTAATTCGTACTGTTATAAAATTAGTATTATATCAATATACACCGTAATGAAAAAACAATTAATTTGTTGTGTAAAATTTTAATTTTTATAAATAATTAAAATTTACACATTTAAATTCAAGATATTATAGATACAGTTTTATCTCATAACAGAAATTCATTTTTTAACTAAATGTTACTTACAAAATGTTGTCTCATTTTTGATAATATTGTATTCCTGTACTGACATACATATTCTGTACTCTATTAAACCTTCGCGATTGGGCTTCTTCCATCTTAAATCGTATTTAAAAAATGGTTCCATTTTTACATCAACCTGACTATTAGAACTAAAACAGGTACCTGCTAACAAACATATATATATGATATCAGAATAAAATATACGAACATGGAAAACGATTTACCAAAATTTTTAATTAAGGACGGAATGAAAACAACTAACTATAAAATCTTTTTACCTTCTGAAGAATCATTCTCACTTAAAGGTGTTTGACAATTAGTGTCAACGAATATTGACAGAACGGTAAAAATGGCAAAATAGAAACCCAATGATCTTGTAGTTGCCATTTTGCTAACGTTTTTAGTTTACGTTAGCAATCAATCGAATCAGATTAAATGTGGTAGCCTGAATAATAAATTGAATGTAGAAAAAATGAAGCTTAAATAGTAAAAAATAATAAAACAAAGAGGAATTATATTACTTCTACCGAGCTAGCATAAGTTACCTTCTGCCTTAAGACTTCTTTAGACTTGTTTAGTTATACTGTGACGATAATACAAATTTCAACCTTTTATATACTGCTGACAACTTCGATATTTCAAAAACTATTGCCAGTGATACATCATTTAGATTTAAATTAAATTTATCAATATACAAACATTATATTTTTATTATTATATATAGTATGAACGCTAATTCATTTCCGAGAATATTATTAAATGTTATTAAAATAGAATTATGTTATCGTATAATTTTTATCACAATCATAATATTTAAAGAACAATTTTTAAGAAACTATTGTAAATTACTTAAAATTAGTATTGTAAGTTTAATCTTTGTATTTATATTATCACAAATTTTAAATTATTTCTTAATTATTCGAAATGAAGCAATATTGTAATTCTAGAGTATATTTTTTTTCTAGGAAATAAAATAATTCCATTGTCAATCATTTTTATTTTCAGATACAATAAATAAGATATTTTCAGGGTTATTTAAATACTACCTAGGTGTGAATTTCGGTCTGCCGCCAGAGATGGTTGGTTGGCCCATGGTCGGCCCAACTAGGGCTGCACGAGAGTCTGCCGCCCTAGTTGGGCCGACCATGGTAAATATTGTCACACAAAGGTGGCCCGACTATGGCTGCCAACGTCGGTAGCCCTAGTTAGACCAACCATGGTTCCCATAGTTGGGCCGACTGTGGGGGATAATGGTCGTCATGACTTGGGCAGCCACAGTTGGGCCGACCATCTGTCACGACGGTCGGCAGCCACAGTTGGACCAACCTTGGCCGCCCTAGTTGGGCCGACTATGGAGAACAATGGCCGGCATGACTAGGGCACCCACAGTTGGGCCGACTATGGGGAACTTTGGTCGGCATGACCTTGGCAGCCACAGTCGGTCCAACTGTGGCTGCCATAGTTGGGCCAACCGTTGGAGACTACAGTCGGCAGCCGCAGTTGGGCCAATCTTGGCCGCCATGGTTGGGCCGACTGTGGGATATAATGGCAAAACTAGGGCAGCCACAGTTGGCCTAACTGTGGCTGCCGACCGTCTTCTCTAACGGTTGGCCCAACTAGGGCAGCCACAGTTGGCCCGACTTGGGTACCCATAGTTGGGCCAACCAAGTCGACCCTAGGTCGGTTGACGTTATCAATTCGTTAGTCAGCCCGTTCTCTGGCTGCCCAAGGTAGGCCGACTGAGCACATGGTTGGCCCAACTTGGGGCCGACCGCCAACTCGCACCTGGGTAAATATACTTTTTTACAATCGTAACATTTAAAGAAAAAAAAAATTACAAAAAAAATTATTACAAAACTTCTTAAAACAGAACTAAGAATTTTCGAAAACAATTTTTTTTAAATAGCTGAAGTATTTTTAAAAATTGGTCGAATTCTCTTAATACTGTCTTTCCGGGGGGGGGGGGGGATTTCGAGATCGTTGAAATAAAATCTGATAAAGGATTTAAAAAACTTTAAATAGCGTATCGAATATGATCGCCTATTTTTAAATTCATTAGATTTGTTTAAAAAAAACTCTTTATCCAGGAGTTTTTAGGATCGTTGATTACGATTTTGATTTAACAACCACAAAAACCTAGAATTAATAAATTTTAAACCCTTTTTTCTTTGTTCTTAATTATAAATATTTTTTTGCATTTAAATATTATTTTTAAATTATTTTTCATAATAATAATAATAAAAAACATTTTGTCAGTGTAGCCTATGTACATAGCAAAAGAATTTGCAAAAAACATATAGTGAAGGGAATGAGAAAATTGCCCCTGGGTATGGAGCACAAAAATGAAACGAGCCACAGCACGCGACTGAAATCATGACACGAGTGTATTACTTTTCCAGGAAGCACTTCCGCGGACTAACAATATCCTGGATCGAATAGTTGAGAGAGAGAGAGAGAGAAAAAAACATGAACAAATACTGAGTGAGAATAGATAACAATTTTTTTTTTTTCAAAATAATTGCATTTTATGTTTGCGCTCATCCATGAAATAAGGATAAGAGAGCAATTTTAAACTGATCTTCTTGTTTTTATTAAAATTTTCTATTTGAAAAGTGAATCTAATTTCTACTTGGCATTGCTATGTATATACAAAGGAATATAGCCGTTGAGTTTAATACGTTTAATTGCACAACAAGTATTCATGTATACATTCCAATATGCGCTTGTAACACCTGCAGACTTGAAATTACTGGGTCAAGCATATGCTGTAAAAATTTCTTCAAAAAAAAAAGAAAAATGGTTAAAATTTGTTTAAATAATTATTTTAATTTTGCTTTGATAAAATTTTTAGTTAGTAGAAATTAAATTAAAGCTATTATTATTATTGGGAAAACAATTTTTAGTGAGACAATTTATTTAAGTGTTTGTATTTTTTAATCATTGTAGGAAATTTTAATACTTTTTTTTAGAACTGTTATTTTGTTGATTAATAAATTTTAACGAATATTAATAATAATAAAAATAATTTAAGGCAAATAAAACAAAAACATTCTGATAACGATTCATTGCATTGTTTCTTGTCTAATCCTTGATGTAAAAATTTTGATCGACTTTTACGATCATTAAAATTTATGTATAGGCTATTTTGTAGCCCGAGTTTTTAGGGACAATGTTTTAGCTATTTTTTGAAGTGTTGCAGTAGTGTTGTTGGTCCCATCGAAGTAGCATCACATCAAAGTATTTCATGATAAACAATATTCTTCAAATATAACTTTTGAGAAATTTCTCCATTTTTGTACCCAACAGAATGAACAGCATGGATTTTTAAATGTTCCTTTGATTTAACTCGAAAACAATCATTATAAATTTAACCATGACCAAATGTTGAAATTAGTAAATATATTCCTACTTTGTCAAAAGATTTTCCTTGAAATTTATTAATAGTCATGGTATAAGCAAGTCTAACTGAAAATTGTCTTCTTATCATTTTGAAAACATATGTGTCTTACGAAAGAGATAAATGAATACGTGGAATAAAAACTATTTCGCCTTTAGATTTTTTATTAATTATTTCTGTAGAAATAACTTTTCTCAATAATAATTTTACCACTAATCGAGTCCCATTATACATAATCCATGTATCGAATTCATATTTCTCAAAAGCATAATTATACATCCTACCTTTAAAGATAATAATTTATCGAGGCAAACCGTGTTAAACTATTTAAAAATTCTATTGGAACAATATTCTTTACATTTTTTAGGTCGTCGTCGACATGAGAATCAACAGTATAATAAACTACTTCTTGCTCTTCTAATGTTAACAAAATACGTTCATTCAAATCTCGTCAATTAAATTCCTATCAGAAATCAAATCCTGTGGTTTTTCTAAAACACTATTTTTTCTTTCAAACATTGATTGTGGTTTACCATTATCAACATTTAATAACCAATTTGAAAACTCTATCTCATTATTATCTAATCGAACGTTAACATTTGAGGACTTTGTTTCAAAAAGAATCCACAATCTGCTATTTTTTACACATACCTCAACAATATGATTGCGGCTATCATGTAAAACAATTGGCAAAGTTTGTCGAAAATCTCCTGAAAGCAAAAAAATAACTTTACCTCCAAATGGTTTATTACATTGTGTAATATCTCGCAACATAGACTTCATTGCTTGTAGAGAAAATTTAGTGTAATTTCATCCCAAATAATGATTTTAGCACTTTTTAACAGTTCAGAGTGTTTTGACATTCCACTTATATTGCACCTATTCTTGCAATTATCATATTGCTGCCATGACATCAAAAATTTTGCGCTGATCATTATTTAAACTTGTAACAAGTATTTTAGCCTCTTTTTTAAGCAATTTTAATGCCAATACATTAGCTTCCTTATCGAATTCTCTAATCGCAAAATTTTTAATTCAACAAAATAAATTGCTAAATGCGAAAATTTCACGCAGCATTCACACACCTCTTAAATAATTTGTTAAAATTTTGTTGATTAATTACTGTTATAATCATTTGATAAATTTATTATTCCACAGCGATTTATCGATTCGAAAAAAATAATTTTCTTTCCTTCTTCATATGTTTCGCCCTTAATTTTAATTTTTCACGGTCATTAGTTGTGTAATTGATGTAGTAATATCTCAATTTCAAGCTCTTATCTTTAACCGCGGATCTAATGGCCTGTTGGCTAATGAACGATCGAACTAAAATGTCAGGCAATTCTCTCGGACGTTAAAGTACGCGAGCAGTATTTCTCTCACTATAACCATTGTATATCGATCGTGCCTAACCTTTTAATCGAGTTTTCCTACAACACCTTTTCTCTCTCTCTCTCTCTCTTCTCTTGAAAAACATTTTGGCACTCGGTTATTACAACATACATACGAATATATTGCTTTTTCACAATTTTAGATATAAAAATTCGTTAAAAAAAATTCACCCTAGTACAATGCACTTCTATTAAATTTAAATCTGATAAAAGAACAATTTTTTTCAAACACTATTAAAAATATTATTTCTGATTGTGTAAATTAAAAAAAAAAATTTAATGAGATTTTTCAGAAAGTCAGAAAAAATAGAAAGGAGATTTTTTTTGAAAAAAATTTGTAAGATGTAAATGTTATAAATTGCAAGTTTGAGAAAATAAAAGTTCTAATGATCTTCTGTATATGTATATATATATACATATGGAAATAAAAAGATGAAGTTGTTTTTTTTTCGTGAAAAAAATAAAGTGACAGAAGAGAGCATTTCATTCATCCAATAAACCGTAACGATGCAAAAGTTGTGTCGTTTTGTTCATTGAAATTTTTTTTTTTTTTTTTTTGTCTTCCTTTCCTAACAAGAAGAAAGTTTTCTAGATAGTATATGAAATGCGACCATCTGAAAAGAGAAGCGTTAACTTTAATCACGAGCAACGAAGCATATTACTGCACTATATATATATGTTTGTAAGATTCAACGGTGCAAATTGCGCTTGCAACCTTCATATTCTTAAAAGTCGTTGAATTTTAGTCAATTTAATTTTCAATATACAATTTTTTTTTATTATAAAAAAAATCAATCTACTGTTATATCTTTAAGGATTTTTGTGTGGAAATTAGAAAACAAAAAATAATTTCTTGAGCAAAATAT